TGTGCCCTTCAGGCTGTTGGCGTGTGCTCTTTCTGTTTTGCCTTCCGTTTGTTATGGCGGATCTGTTTTCTTTATTGTTATTGTCCTTATTCTTGTATGTTTCTCGCCTCTCTGTATGTATTTGAGGTGTTAGCAGGCTTGTTTTGTGTGCATTTTGTCCTGGGGTTTTCCCTTATGTTTGTTTTACACTGTGTTACTAATTGTGTATTGTTTGTATATGCATTTTTTTGTGGTCAGCCCTTCTGGCTGGTCTTCTATTGATTTGTTCCTTTGTCCTTGTACATATGTGTGCTTTGTACTTTGTTCTATGTTATATTTGTTCTGTTTTTCTTGTACGTTCTACGCATGCTTGCATGTAAAAAAAAAAATAAAAAAAAAAAAAAAAAAAAGTCTAGTCGTAGAGTAAATTATAATGCTCACCGAACTCCTTATCAGAATCCATCCCGTCCTATTGTTCCAGTTACTCCCATGAGCTCTTCTCTTACAAAACCTAACCCTGCTACTTCCTTGTCAGGAATGTCAAATAATAATAAGGTTATTTCTAAACCTACAGTTGGTTCCACAGGTGTGTCCACTGTAAGGTCTTGTTCCCATTGTAAGAGAAAAGGCCATGGAATTAATTCCTGTTTTATATTGCACCCTGAGTTACGACCAACTGGTCTCATTTATTGCAGAGGTGTGCAAAATAAACTTACTAATAAACATGTAACTGTAAACCCCAATTGGGTGAAACAGTATTCACCATATATGTCTTCAGGTGAAGTTTTGTGTATTAATGGGAAGTGGAAGCCAGTGGTTATTCTTCGTGATACAGGTGCTTCCCAAACCATAATTTCATCCAGTATTCTTTCTGATGTTGAACAGAGAGAGACTGGAAAGTTTGTTGTTCTTCAGAGTGTTGCAGGATGTAAAACTGTACCTCTAATAGACATTAATTTCAGATCCACCATTACACCAAGTTTATGCACTGTGGGTGTTAGTACACAGTTGCCCATCCCAGGTGTGGATGTTATATTGGGTAATGATGTGGCCATAAATCATGTTGTGGGTGAGAATGATCCCCGTTTGTGTAAACAGCTAGTTGCAGACCATGTTTATTCTGCCTGTGCTGAAGTTAGTTCTATGAATGAACAACCTGTTGTAGAAGATGGTTTTGTCCATTCTACCTGTGCTGATGTCAGTACTAATATAAATCCAGTTGTCAGTTCTAATGTTACTCAAGCATTTGTTCCAGTAACCAGTACCCCTTCAGTGGAGAAGTGGGATGTGGTTGTTCCAGATTCCTGTGTGGCCGATTTAGTTGTTGAGAGTAAGCCTGATACTATGACTCTGCTTTATTCCAATAAATTGGGAAAGGATGTCCATGTACCATTGTCTTGCCCGCTCACTACGAACGTTGTGCCAGGAGTTGAGAGAAACTTAAAAGCCACGACTCTGTATTCCAGCCAAGTGAATGGTTTAGGACAAGATGTCGGGTTGGCAGAAGTATTCCCGCTCACTCCAAGTTTAGAATCAGTTGTCGAGAGTAAGTCTGTTGTAGAGGCCCCGCCTCACCCTAGTCAAGGTGATATAATAGGGGAGGAGGTCAAACTACCTGTTACTTGCCCGCTCGTTTCAGATTCCCTTAATTTAAGTGCATTGAGTAGAACTGACCCTAAGATTTCAGAGAGAAGCAAGGAGACAGTCTGTACTGTAGATCCAGTTTTGGAGAGTGTGGGAAAGCAGCCAGAGGATCAGCTTCTGTTGAGTAGATGGAGACCCATGGAGCCTCCCTCTTCAGTTGTCTGTGAGGATGTGATCCAGCTTGGTAGTGATATTATTGATTGTGAGCAGACAGTACTCCAAGCAGCTCCAGAAGTCATGGGAGGAAATTTTGGAAAAATCATTGAGAGTGGTAAGGTTGCATTTGGATCTAAGTTGCAGAGTTGTGATTCTTATTCTATGTGGAGTAAGTATTTCTCATTGTGTACATTGAGTCAGAGTGTGTGTAGGATGTTGAAATCTACTTTTATTCTGCAGGAGCCATTTTCTTGTGAAGTAATGGACTGTGGGACATCTTTGTCAAGCCTTGTGGTTGAGCAGAGAGAGTTTACTCAAGTAGGTTGTGCATCCAGTTCTGAGGAAGTAGTGAGTTATGCTAGAGCAGTGTCTCTATATTCAGATCCAGTTAATTTTGATGCACGAGTGATGAAAGTGTATGTTCCACTCAAGTGTGGTGTTGACATTCAGAGTCATATTGGAGTTGATTTTCAGAATCATAGTGTGGGTGAAGGATTAAATCATACTGGGGAGCAGATGTTTGAGGCTCCAGGTGTGTATTTCAAGTTGGGGGATAAGGTTATCCTACCTAGTGTTAATCATTGTGAAGGGTTTCAGATTGTCCTTGGGTGTTACCCAGGTAATCTGTTGTTCATCTTCAAGATGTTAAGACCCTTAAACCTCTTGGTTGATTGGTTGTCATCAGACGTAAATCACTTGGGAAGTGATGGTGAGGGATGTAAAGTTTTCGGCATGTTTTATTTAGTCTTTTGGCAGACTAGAAGGTTGATGAAAGTGTGTGTTGTGTTCAAGTTCACCATCAGGAGGTGTGAACTTGTATTCGGAGTTATGATTGAGATATGGTGCCTAGGCATATGCCTGTTTTCATTCACTGATCGTTATGACAGAGTTATGAGGCAATTGATTTCTGTGTTCCTTAGGGATCATCTGAGTCAGTTCGATCAGGTAGTCTTTGCACTTATCTTGGGTTGCATTTCTTGGTTTGAAGGTCAAAGGTTTGCTAAGTCGGTGTCTTGTGTTTCGGAAGGTTCTATGAATGGGAAAGTTTTATACATAATTGTGAGGTTTAATGCTAATTTCTCTAATTTTAGTATACATTGGGCGAGAGTATGTGTTCCACAGAGGATCCAGAGTGATGAAGAGCAGATGTCTGTGTCAGAGCATACCCAGGAGAAGTCCCAAATCTACTCAACATCCAGTCAGCTTCAATTACGCAGTTCAGCTCCAGAAAAAGGGAGTAATGGGAAATGGAGTCTGTCTTGGAAAAATTCACCATGTGGAAAAGGGATCACATGGAAATACGGAACTGATCTTAGAGAAATAGTAGAAACAAATGAAAAGCTAAATTGCCGTGATAACTGTGTGAAAGCAGCTACCTTTATTGACAATTCTATTCATGCTAATGATGATAATGTAGATAGGAGTGTGAAATATGATCTGAAACAAAGTGAAATAAATGAGATAGTACCTTGGAATGATAAATTTGCATACTCCAGTGACACATATGTAGAACATAGTCATAAGACTGAAATTTCTGAGTTTCCTGTAAGACTATATTTGGAGTGTTTTCATTTTTGTCCAGAAATGTGTTCTTATTACTTTTACATGTTTGGTGTAATTAATACCATAAATCTCAAGTGTCATACATTTTACTTTGAAAAAATGCCATTGATCTTCAATCTATTGCATTTTTTTTCTTGGAGGTGGAAGTGTTACGTACTCCTAGCAGAATACGTATATAAATTTAAAATAACTTGTTTTGTTCTATTATATCATTGCCTGTATATGTACACACATTGTGTTTTTGTAAATTATCGTGTGGTGTGGCAGCGTCAGTGGAGACAGGAGCGCGGTTGCTTTGCACACGTCTAATACCTGTTAGATTCGGGAAGTTGGACCTGTTCAGTTTTGGGAGTTCCAGATGTCACTTTTATTTAGTTTTTATAATTATTTATTTTCTGTAATTAAACAGGTGGCATTGTACTTATATATTTTGCAAGTAACTATTATATGTAATTTGCATTCTTGTGTGTTTTGAGAACAAGTGGTTGTTCAATTAGTTTTAAATATTAAAAAGTCCTTAGTTTCCATCCCTCATCCTGGATGAGCATACACCTACACAAATACCATACACTTATAAAAAAACTTTGCTTTCACTTACACAAAAGACCTTGCCTACACTTGCACAAATATTCTACACTTACACAATAGACCTTGCCTCCCCTCACCTCTCGCCCTATTCCCCTCCCTCACCTCTCCTTCCCTATCCACCATTTTTATCTCTAATATACCCATCTCTTACCCTTCCTGCACTATCCCCCTCTTTTCACCTCTTCTCTGTGCCCTTCTCTTCCTATATCCATCTCCCATCTCTCCTTCATTTCCCACCTTTTCCACCCTAATTCCTTTCCCACTTTTCTCCTTAAGACAAAAAGTAAGGGCGCTTTGCAATTATTTGTTTCCCATCAAGTTTGTAAAATATATGGAATCTTAATCGAGAAATTATGAAAATCATTTTATTTGTTCAATATATAGTTAGCGAGATGTGAGAGCAAGAAAGTATCCGACAGAAAAAACTTCTCCCAAAACACATTTTCACTAAGATCCCAGTCCCACCTTTTATAACCCAGTCTCGTACAGATGTTATTCATTTGTTGCCCGAGCTACCATTATAACTCCCTGGAATGACTTCCCTTCCCTCCTATGGCTTCTCCACGCAATCATTCAGCTGTTTCCTAAAACATCATCACTTTCTCTTTAATATTTGCCTTGCACACTTGAACTCCTACAGGTGCATATCTCTCTCTACCTGTCTTACAGACACTTCAACTATCCAACATTACCAGCACCCTATGGCACATCTTTATGTGTGTACCTCAGGTATGGAAAAAGCTTCTGCCCTTCCATCTTTATTCCTTTCTTACTCTCATCATATCCTGACTACACAGTTTACCATCTACACTCTTCCTCTCATTTTTCTCAGTTTTCCCATTATATCTTCCAATTAAGATGTGACATGTGAGACAAACATTTATCTTTCTATTTTCCAGGCCACCAGGACAAGGCGGTGTGAGACCTGGACACACTGTTCATTGTTCTATCCGACGGCAATATCGTATGAAACCAAACATAGTTATTACATGTTGTTGCAAATAGAAACACTGCAAAAACCTCATGTTGTGGGAACTTTGTACAATAAATTTTATGAAACTGATTACAGCGATAAGTCGTGTAAGTTAATAATAAATTAAATGAATCTCAAGGCAACATATCAATGGAGAGAACTTACTAACACACTTGGTACCAGTGGTCATATAGCCACTTGGACAGCAGCAGCTGTAGCTGGTTCCGGTACCAACGCAGGTCCCAGGATCACACGGGTTGGAGACACACAGGTCAGCTGTATTGTAAGACAAAAACATTACAATGTTTTTTTGTTTACTTTCAACATTGTTTACTTTCAACATTATTGTTTATAATGTCAATGGGGCTCAGCAGAGTCAGCAGTGATGCCAGTGGCTAACGTGATCGTTTGTATTCATACTGACAACTGCTCACAGTCACATGTACATGTTCTAGTGTGGTGGAGCTTGGCCATACTAGATGACTGATACTATAAATTTTCTAGTGTGGACGAATTTGGCCACAGTAGATGTCCGAGATACTGTAAGTGTTTTTGTGTGATGGAGCTTGGTTACACTAGATGACTGGGTGTGCCTTCTCCCCACCCAAGCCAACCCCTCCCTTTCCCCATTCACAATGCCAACAATATCCTCCAAATCCTCCCTTCCTTCCTCACACCGAGCACCCCCTGAACTACTTCCTTCCCCAAGCAGGGCAAGCAAGATCGAAGCCCTCCATCCCCAACCCTACCTCACCCTGAACCTAAGGTAACTACCCACAGGAGGATGAGTCTATCCATGTAGCCCTGTCCACGGAACGGCTTCCTACTCCAGTGTGTGTCACAATGGATATAGGAAAGTGAGCTTCAAGGTGATAAAGTCAAACATCGATGGGGTTACTAATAAAGCAAGTGAAGTGGCCGTAAGGGCGCAGGAAGAAAACCATGATATAATAGCACTCACTTTAATAAAATTGTCAGGCATCATAACAAATGCAGTGTTTCTGCAGAACCACTATATAGTAAGGAAAGAGGGAAGGAAGTGGAGAGGCTCCGCTGATATGTAGGGACTGTAGTTTTGAAGAGCTGGAATTTCGGGCTGTGAAGGATTCAGAGAATACATAATCGGAACTATGACAATGGGTGGTCCTTAGGTAATAGCAGCAGTCATTTACAACCACCGATTATATGACAGAAGACTCAGGAATTCGATAGGAACAACATGGCAACCCATTAATATAATAGAGAGAGCAGCTTCAATTGCCTGCAGCAATGGATCTAGGCTCCTAATCATGAGCGACTTCATTGACGGAAAGAGACTGGGAGAATGTGGAACCACATGGAGGTGCAGATACTTGGAGAGGTAAACTCTTGGACGTGACAACAAGAAAACGTTTTATCCAACATGTCAAGGGACCCACAAGAATAAGAGGCAATGACGAACAAGCTAGACTACCAGATATTTCACCTTGAATGAGTTAGAAATAAAGGAAGTCAAATTTGAAGCCCACATGAAAATGAGTGATCACATTATATTGTTATAAGAGTACCTGTTGGAGGAAGTGATAACGAATCCAAGGAAGGGATCGGAAAGGAAAAGGCTAAATTACCGAAGAGTTAAATGTGATGAGATGAGGAACGTCCTAATTGGAATAACATGCGAAACAGAACTTTGAGAAAAGTGTACGAGATATGATGGAATACGTCTCACAAGTGTCAGGAAGCTGCAGACAAGTTTATCCAGGCCCAAAAATCGAAAAATGAAAAGTAGCAGAAGAATCCATAGTTCAGAAGGGATTTTAAAGTAGCGTAGCAATTGGGGTACAAGAGCATGGATAAACTACAGGAATAACAGAACACAAGAGAGCAGGAAGAGTTACCAGAGAGCCAGGAATGAGTACCTCAGAGTTTAGAGAAAAGTAGAGAAACTCTAAAAATTGTATGCCGATAAAAAGCGAAGACCCAACCATAATTGTTCCTTAGCCACATTAGGAGGAAAAAAGCAGTGAAGGAATAAGTGATGAAACTGAGAAAAGGGGAGAACAGATACACAAAATGACAGGGAGGTGTGGGAAGAACTCATCAAGAGGTTCCAGGAGGTCTTCACAACAGGGCAAGGAGAAGCCCTTGTTCTAAGAAAGGAGGCGGCAAACCAAGGCACCATATAGGAATTTGAGCTCAGTGATGATGTCAAAAGGAATCTGTTGGAGCTGAATGTGACAAAAGCTGTTGGCCCAAACAAAATCTCATAATGGACTCTAAAAGAGGGTGCAGCAGAACTAAGTGTTTCACTCTCTATGGTGTACCACAGATAACTGAAAACTGGAGACCTAATGGAAAATTGGAAGACGGCTAATGTAGTCCCAATATACAAAAAATGGGCGACAGTTAGAGGCCCTGAACTACAGGCTAGTTTCCATAACCATGCAACATGGAGAAGATCACGAGGAAAAGGCTGTTAGAACATCTGGAGGGAAAGAACTTTATAACACATCACCAGCATGGGTCCAGGTATGGTAAATCATGCTTCACAGGCCTTATATAATTATAGGATCAAGTGACAAAAATTAGGTTAAAGAGAGAAGGGTTGGCAGAATGCATTTTCTTGGACTGTAAGAAAGCCTTTGACACAATACCCAATAAAAGGTTTAAATAGTTGGAGAGGCAGGCAAGAGTAGAAAATAAGGTGCTCTAGTGGATAAAGGATACTAAGCAGCAGGAAACAGCAAGGAGCAGTGAAGGGGAAAGATATGAGAGTGGCGAGATATCACCATCGGTGTCCCACTACTTTGACCAATGCTGTTTCTGATATATGTAAACGACTTCCCAGAGGAAATCATTTCTCTCTATGTTTGTTGATGATGTAAAAATTATGAGACGAATCAAGACAGATGATGATTACAGGACGACTTTGATAAACTAGAGGAATGTTTTAGAATATGGCTAAAGTTTGACTTGTGGACACGTAGAGGTAATGAAATTAGAGGAAGGGACGAAGAGGTTGAACACAAGTTACCATCTGGGAGGTGAAATCCGGCAATAGTCATATTAGAGAGAGATCTGAGGATTGATATCACACCAAACCTGTCCCCAGAAATCCTCATCAAATGTATATCATCTGCGGCATATGCTGGATTTGCCAACATAAGAACTGCCTTTAGAATTTTGTGTAAGGAATCGTTTAGGACCTTGTTACCTTACCTTGCGATGATTTCAGGGGTCAACGTTTCCCCGGTCCGTGACCAGGCCACCTATAACCAATTATATCAGACCTATCCTGCAGTATGTAGCTCCAGCCAGGAATCCATACCTATTTAAACACACGACAAAGTTAGAGAAAATTCAGAGGTATTCCACCAGACTAGTTCCAGAGCCGAGAGGTATGAGCTACAAGTAAATGCAACTGGAGCTAAAACTCACTTCTCAGGAAGACAGGAGTAAGGGGAGACATAATAACCACCTTTAAATTTCTCAGGGGACTTGACAGGGTGAACATAGACAAACTATTTAGCACGCGTGAAACACGAACAAGGGGACACAAGGTGGAAACTTAGTACCCAAATGAGGCACATAGACATTAGATATATATTTTTCAGTGTCAGAGTAGTTGACATATAGTGCATTAAGCAGTGATGTGATAGAGGAAGAATCCATACAAAGTTTCCAATATAGATTGGACAGAGCCCAATAGGTTCAAGAATCTGTTCACCAGTTGAGAGGCGGGAACAAAGAGCCTAAGCTCATGCACTACAAGCACAATTAGTTGCGTAGAACTAAGTGAGTACACACACATATACACAGTGTGTAACTTGGATTACATGTACTACTCACGTATGCAGGTTTTTCCATTAAATGCTTTTCCTTTGGGACATACACATTTCGGCTTCAGCATGCCAGTTCCGCATCCGTGTAACAAGTTCTCATTCGAACCCTGAAAGCAACATTTTTCTTTGTGAAAACAGAGTTAGTTGTTTATCATTGTTTATGTGGAAGCATTCTCTTATTAGTATGGTTGTGTAATGAACGGAAATAGAGCATAAACACATTTTCACTTCAGAGATATCCTCACAAATAACGGCAAAATAATCGGCTGATACAGCGACAGCAGAAGACTGGACATCGACGAGGCATTATACATCAAGCTAACCAAGACATGTATCAGTAGCAAACTAGCACAATTTACACTTTGCCAACTTCCAAAGCACGACGAATCATAACATACGGCACCAGCTATTATAAAAACAAGAGTTTGTATAATGTGAGGTGCTTCACCTTATTCATGGGAGAGGATGTAGTTAGAATCATGCAGAAAAAATCTTAGTAATCATTTGAACTTTGCCTGTGACAATGTTAACAGGAGTTAACGAAACATCTTTTAGCATCAGGCCAATTAAAACTGTTTTAGTTTTATGTAAAACAAATGTATGTCATTACTTAAACACAACATCATTGTTACTTATTAACCTTTTTATATATTTACCAGTCTTTGCAAATATTTTCTACCATCTGAAAGGTGAAGAAATACTAGATCACTTAATCTTTCCATTTATATTGTTCGAAGTTTCGATCAAATTTCGTTCAACAAAACCACTGCAGTGACCAATACTTTTGACCCACTGAAATCAATATGATCACAGTGATTGACATGTAAATACAATGCACTTGAATGTTGGACAGCTCTAATAAAATCAAAACGTGAACTCAAAGATTTACCTCCTTGTCTGATGTAAATAAACGAATGACAAAGGATCGAATACACACAAACACACACACATACACCTTTTGCATAAATGGGCAAGTTTTTTATTAAAATGGATTTTATCGTATCTTTGAATACCACATTGGTATCAGAGTTCTTCAAAACTTTGAAAAGTTTAGCAAGTCCTTCCGAGTCACATACCACTAAGCATGTAAATTTGCGTGAGGCTATATGCAATCTTTTCACCTCTAGCTTTGAACAGACAAACATTCTCTTATAGTATAGATATAAATAGTTACCAATTATTTATGGTATAATGAGTATTTTAGTTTCTTACATAAAATATATAGGTACAAGTATCATTATTAGGCGAGTATTATTAAGTTTTTAATATATTATTGAATATATTACAATTATATTTGTGGGATAACTTCTGAATAACGATATTGATTGGTTGAATGATCGCGGCTTACATTCAGTGGCAGTGATGCGTTATATACTTAGATGGCTACAAGTACATTATTTAGAAAGCTGAAGACATAAATTAGATGCAGACTTACGTCTATTCCTTCGTTAGACTTTAATACGATGTTCCTGACACCAGCGGCAGCGGTGAGCATTACAATTGCTGACAGGAAGATGATAGACCGCATGGTGGTTCTCTGGGCACTACTTGATGTATTGGCACACTGGCTGGGCACAGGGGAGGAAAGATACTATTACTGGCTGGGCACTAGGGAAATTTGCGATTGTTACTGGTTGGGCACTTTGGAGATATGAAACTAACTATATGGACTATGGGGAGATACGAGACTTACTGGCTGCATACCTGGAGGATAGGAGACAAGCTGGCGGGACTAGGTAACAGTTATTAATAGAGCATCAAGTACCAGTTATGCTTAATTTAAAGTTAATTTTACTCTTTCGTTTAGAATAATATCGTGGTCTTATTTTTTTACATTAAAAAATTTCATATGCCAATTTCATATACAAAAAATTATATGCCAGCGTTTCAACTACTGAATATGTAATATATCGAACACCCACTAGTGAGAGATATTATAATATATTTATCAGAATATATTACATAAATAACAGGCTTTAGTGAAATAAGGAGAATTAAGGTGGGAGTACATTAATAATAATCCAACGAACGAGAAGAAAGGTAGACAATTCTCTTGTAGATGACCTTAATAAGCAAATTGAGCACCGTCTCAGAGTTCAGCACTATACGACTGGACGAAGTAAATCTCAGAAGAAGAAACTAAAACAGTACGAGAGACTGCATTGAGCATCAATGCATCATGTAAATGCAAAGAGCATGAGAAAGAGTACCGGAGACATCCCACTGAAAGTAGCCAAGAGCTGTTTAAAACTGTGTTTTAAGTAGCCAGGGAAGAGAAGATTAATGAGCGGTAAAGACAATGGCTTGAAATCACTAGTTTTACCGGAAAGGAAACATCTGCCAGACAAGTGTAGAGCAAAACTTTAGATACTTAAAGGGAGGGGGGAAGGGGGGGGGCAGAACCCGGCCGGCGGAATACAAAGACCCCAAGGGTAAGGCTGAAGAACTAATAAACAAGTAGAGTAATGCAGCTTCCTCCTCCTACCTCCCTGCAGAAATAAACAGGGAACAGCTCCTGCGACATATTGACAGAAGAATTAGGATAACAAGAGCACAATCTAGTGATGACGAGTATGGGCAACCAATCACCGCCCACGAAGTAAGGGGGGCTATGTAAAAGGGTAAAAGTACTGCATCTAGGTGAAGATGGCATCACTTACGACATATTCAATGCACTGTGTGAGGTGGCTTATTCCAATACTTCTCCTGTTCAACAAGTTATTCCTAAGAGGAGTGTTGCCCACACAATGGAATCACGCAATAATTATTCCCATACCGATGCCCAATGACCTTTGCAGTTATAAACCTATCAGTCTCTTGTCATGTACATGCAAGATGCTTGAAAGGATCATCCTAAAACTACTATAGCACAAAATAGGCAGGCTAGGAGAGGGGGATCAATTGATTTGTTAAAGGATGGAGCACGGCAAATTGTACAGTTAATTACTTGGCTAATGACATGTATTCTGTATTTATTGACATCAAAGGAGACTTCGACAGAGCACAAGGAGTTGCGATCCTGGACGAGTTTTTGTGCATGGGTGTCAATTCTTATCTTGAGTCATCTTGAGATGATTTCGTGACTTTTTAGTGTCCATACGGCCCGGTCCTCGACCAGGCCTCAACCCCCAGGAAGCAGCCCGTGACAGCTGACTAACACCCAGGTACCTATTTACTGCTAGGTAACTGGGGCATAGGGTGAAAGAAACTCTGCCCATTGTTTCTCGCCGGCGCCCAAGATCGAACCTGGGACCCCAGGATCACAAGTCCAGCGTGCTGTCCGCTCGGCCGACCGGCTCCCCCGATGAGGAAGACGAGTTCAATGGACTGTTTGATTTTGCCCAAGGTGGGAGCTTGTATTAGAACATCATCTGCTTATCCCACTTGTTGTGTTCTTTCCGGAAATTCAATACTTGCAGTGGCGTTCATAAGTATGTTAAATAGTGTCAGGGGAGACTCATGATATATATTGAAGATTACCTCACAAGAAGGAAAGCAAAGGTCTGCTTCAAAGGAGCAATCTCGAGAACAATGAGAATAGAACTCAGGAACAACCCCCCCCCCCCACCCCACCAAGGAGCGTTCTTAAGCCAACACTATTTAACATAATTATGAACGCCATTGCAAGTATTGAATTTCCGGAAAGAACACAACAAGTGGGATAAGCAGATGATGTTCTAATACAAGCTCCCACCTTGGGCAAAATTAAACAGTCCATTGAACTCCTTGTTAGGAAATGTGTTTCACTCTGTTTCACTCTCTCCACAAACAAGACAAAAGAATACTCATCACAATCGGAGATAAAATGAGAAACAAATTAATGGTAAAACACTTGAATGGGTTAACCACTTCCGGTACCTTGGCGTCACTGTCGGCTCTAACAAGGGGAAGAAAGGAGCTCAACCATCTCATGGGAACATGCAAAAGTCGACACAGGGCACTGAAAGCTATGACCTGGAATGGGCATGAAGGCTCTATTGCCGAGCTTAAAACGATCTACACAGCCTATGTGCACTCCGTCATAGACTATGCCTGAAAAGTTTTGTGCACTTATTCCCAAAGCGACATAAACAAAATATTAAAAGCATACAAAATGAAGCCATGACAATCATTCTTAGAGTTCCAAGAACTGCCAAAACATCTAATCCACGGGAAGAGTTGTTCCTCCCCATTGTTAAAAGCAGAATTATGGAACTGAATGCTAAGCTTGCAATTAAAATAGCCAAAGGTCCCCATTACAATGATATTGCCAAGAAATAACTGATTTCTGTGCTGCTTACAGGGGGAAATAGGTGAAGCAAAAAAATGGCATCACAGATCAGTCTGCTACCTCCAAGAACTTCACCTGCTTGAGCAAGCCCGAGAGCTCATTCCTGTAGAAAGGTTACCTCCCTGGGTGGATGATCCATTCAGGATAATCATCAATGTGATGGCAGCGAAAAAGTCGAACATGATACCACAAGAAATGAGCCAAAATTATCTCTAGGAAATTTATAAATAGCCGGAAATGAGTTAGGTCAAATCTACACTGATTGATCATCGATCCCTGTCAGTGACAGGGCTGGTGCAGCATACACAAATTAGGAATAATGCCTTTCAACGCGGAAATGAAGGTAAAGCACGTATTGAGAACTATGCCCCTTCACATCAATTAAATTTCGGAGACTTCAGCCAAAGTGAAATTCACAGCAGTTCCTCCATCTACTATCATTCTATTATTCAAGAAGTACCGCACGTCTATGGGTCATCTAATAAGATTAGCAGACTTCTAGATGTTACCACTGCTAGGCTTAGGCTCGACTACAAGTACCTCTAGGAGTTTGTAACATCTGCTGATGTAGATTTGACTAAATGTAAACTGTCAACAGAATTATTCGCATACTTTGCGTCATTATATACTGGAATGTGAAAAAATTGCGGAATTTAGAGGTAACACCATCAATGATGTCCAGGAAATGTGTAAGTACATCATTCATAATGATGTGCTGCCCGAAATCTTAGCAAAGTATTCAAAATTTACCTACTGTAACTAATGCATGCACATGTATGCATGCACGCACAACCAGTCTCCGTGGTGCAGTGGTAAGACACTCGCCTGGCGTTCTGCGAGCGCTTTGTCATGGGTTCGTATCCTGGCCGTAGAGGATTTACTGAGCGCAAATCCTTAACTGTAGCCTCTGTTTAACTCAACAGCAAAATGAGTACTTGGTTGTAAAAACGATTCTTCGCGGCGGGGATCGTATTCCAGGGACCTGCCCGAAACGCTAAGCGTACTAGTGGCTGTACAAGAATGTAACATCTCTTGTATATATCACAAAAAAAATGACTAAAGCTGCCGCCCAGTTGGGTGGGTGTGCAGCAAGAGTAGTGTGACTTACTATAGATGTAAAGTGCCTTGTATAGTGACTTGTGAGCCTCTTGTTGAATCACTGAACCGATTATGTGCCTCTAATCCTTTACACCACCGCCCACGGGATAAGTATGGGGTGCATAATAAAGAAAGAAATTGAATTACCTCTTCAAAGTAAGCGGAGCTAACCACCATTGTTATGGCGTTAAG